CAAACACTTCATCTCGGGATCAAGAAAGTGAGAAAACCTTGTCTTTGTTTTAATGAAAATCCGAAAGAGACAAAATAGAGAGATTAGTCCCTTCTGTCTGGCTCCTCTGTTGACTAGCTGGGTAAACTTGGTCAAGTTATCGAACCTCTGGGTCTCCTTTTCTCCAGTTGTAAAAAGGGTGTCACTAACAGTCCTCGCCTTGTTGACAATTTTGTAAGGATTAAATGAAACAGTGCTCAGTTGTTAAAGTTATTGTTGTTTCAGATGTTTCCTTTTAAAGTGATGTTATATTTTCTTTTTTCTTTTGAGACAGTCTTGCTCACCCAGGCTAGAGTGCAGTGGTACAAACTCGGCTCACTGTAGCCTCTACCTCCCAGATTCAAGCAATCTCCTGCCTCAGCCTCCTGAGTAGCTGGGATTACAGGCACCTGCCACCACACCTGGCTTTTGTATATTTAGTAAGGACAGGGTTTCTCCATGTTGGCCAGGCTGGTCTTGAACTCCTGACCTCAGGTGATCTACCTGCCTCAGCCTCCCAAAGTGCTGGGATTACAGGCATGAGCCACCACGCCTAGCCAAAATGTTATATTTTCTTATCGACATTTTTAATATATTGAAATTATAAAACTGCCATATATCAAAAACTTATAGAATTTGTTGCTCTGCATGTTGCAACTCATGCAGATGTGCATAACTGAAATGCACACACAAGGGAACGGTATTATGTGGTTCCATGATAACTAAGATCATCACATGCAAAGTGAGGATTGCTTGCCTATGACAGGTACAGTGCTAGATTCTTTACTTCTTTTTTCAATTTCCACTACCCTCTCTTCCATACAGTTCTTTATGTTTTCCCTTATTTTTGGTTGAAAACTGAGACTTAGAATGTTTAAGAAATTTATCCTTGACCCCAAAATCTAGTAGGCAGTAGAGCTCAGATTCAAATCCAGCTGTGAGTGGCACCAAACACAACATGCTTTCTACTGACATACCCTTCATGCTTTCTCTGAGAATAAAGTAGTGTATTCGCTCATTTTCATGCTGCTGATAAAGGCATACCTGAGACTGGGTAATTTATAAAGAAAAAGAGGTTTCATGGACTCACAGTTCCACACGGCTGGAGAGGCCTCACAATGATAGTGGAAGGTGAAAGGCATGTCTTACATTGTGGCAGGCAAGATAGAATGAGTGCCAAGTGAAAGGGGAACCCCCTTAAAAAACCATAAGATCTCATGAAACTTATTCACCATCATGAGAACAGTATGAGGGAAACTGCCCCCATGATTCAATTACCTCCCACCAGGTCCCTCCCATAACACATGAGAATCTAGGAGCTACAATTCAAGATGAGATTTGGGTGGGGATATAGCCAAAATGTATCAGTAGAATAGCAAAGTATATACGACTTTTAAGTCTCAAATTCACATGAAGTCCTTTCTCAAGTATTTGATAAATTGCAAAAAAAAAAAAAAAAAAACAATGTTTGTTTAAAATTATTTGGGGCCAGGCAGGGTGGCTCATGCCTGTAACCCCAGCACTTTGGGAGGCCAAGGTGGGTGGATCACTTGAGGACAGGAGTTCAAGACCAGCCTGGCCAACATGGTGAAACCCATCTCTACCAAAAATATTAAAAATTAGCCAGGCTTGGTGGCGCTCACCTGTAGTAGTCCCAGCTGCTCAGGAGGCTGAGGCAGGAGAATCGCTTGAACCTGGGAGGTGGAGGTTGCAGTGAGCTGAGATTGTACCACTACACTCTAGCCTGGGCTACAGAGCAAGATACTGTCTCAAAAAAAAAAGAAAAAGAAAAAGAAAGAAAAGAAAAAGAAACTATTTGTATGTTTTCATTATTCAAAGCATAGCCCATAGCCCAGCAATCTATAGTGTTTTAGTATCAGTGGCCTAATCTCTGTAAAACGAACAAACAAACAGCAAATATAGAGTCCACCTCTTTTTTCTGATGTATCATATCTCAATCTTAATGAATACCCTGAAATGTTTTTCAATCTATATTGCATTTGCTATTTCAAAAGTGGTTGCCACTGTTTTAATCTCATAATACAGGATTTGCAAAAGGAAAAACAAATTAGCCGTATCACTTATGTAAGAAGGTGAACCAAGTTTTTAGTGTAATATGCAAACTGAAAAATATGAACATTTGTTCAAAACACTGAGATTTGGCTCAAGTGTAAGCTCCTACACGTTCAGCCAACAAAAGCCAAGTATTATTGGGCTTGAGGGTCTAAAATACCTTCATACTTAAAATTGCTCAATTATCTTTCCTTTACATACATATTTGTTTTAATTACATTTGTTGAAAAGGGGGGTTGATTAGAGGATAATAATAAGAAAAATGTATTGAGTGACAGGGATGTGGCAGACACTAACTGTTTACACTTACAGATGATATTTCATTTAATTATCATAAGAACTCTAAAGTAGTTCTTACGATTATCTCCATTTTAAGGAGGAATAAATTGGGGACACAGAGAGTTAAAGACATGTGTCCAAGATTTTAAACACCATACCTTGCTCTTAGCTCTACATTGAAGACTTCTTCCTTTTTTTTTTTTTTTTTTGAGACAGGGTCTTACTCTGTCTCCTGCCCAGGCTGGAGCGCAATAACACGATCACTGCTTACTGTAGCCTTGACTTCCCTGGGCTCAAGCAATCCTCCCACCTCAGCCTCCTCCATCAGCTGTGACTACCGGCATGTGACACCACGCCTGGTCAATTTTTTTGCATTTTGTTTTAGAGACAAGGTTTCGCCATGTTGCCCAGGCTGGTCTCAAACTCCCGGGCTCTGAAGATCTTCCTACCTCAACTTCCCAAAGTGCTGGGATTACAGCGGAGAGCCACTGTGCCTGGCCCCTTTTTTGTTTCAGTATCAACAGGAGCTCCATCTCTTGTTCAGTGGGTTTTCAACCAGTGTCACTGTTTCGAAATTGTTATTCACCCATTTTATTAGCATTGTCAAGTCATATTTCAACTCATATTATCCTGCAAAAGTATGTCATGAATCATGGATATTTCTGCACACAAATACAACTTTCAGAGAAACTAAATTAAAACTTACTAGCTCCTTTGTTTCTTGAGAAATTACTTAGATAAATGAAGAGAATTTGTGTTCTTTGTCATTGGCAAACAGAGTGCCACTTGCCCTAGGCTTGGGGCTGGAAACAGAGCTAATCTATCCTTCTTCATCAGCTATAGTTTAGGGAAATGGAAGCTCTGGCAAAAAGATATTTACATTTATCTCCAGTGGTGACTCATTTGATTCCAGTGAAGGAGTCCCAAAGCCAACCAGCTCAAGGAAAGGATGACCCATCCAAAGATCACTATCTGACTAGCAAGACTAATTTAGCCACTTTATGGTGGAAGTTGTGAATTGTCCAGAAGTTTTCTAAAGCACACGATGTCACTGGCTTGACTTTTCTGGCTGCCAAATTGGAAGAGCCAAGAGAGATGGCATGCTCCTGATAAACAGTTCTGCAGCTGTTGAAAGGTCAAGTGGTTTAGCAAGTTCTTGTCTAAGAACAACTATTCGCCTCCTAGTCTTCAGGGTCATTCTGGATCATAGGAAAATACTCTGAGCTGAGCTGATTACTCTTAGGCAAATAGTGTTATGTTCCAAGTCGGCTTCTCATCTCTCCTTGGACAGAGAACTACCACTTGCCAAGGAAGTTTTTGACCAGACTGACAGTGCAAGGAACTCCAAGGACCCAAGGTGGGGCACATTAAGTCTCAGACAATATCACAAAGTTCCTGAATTTGGAATGAAAAGAAGCAGCATCCTTTTGGGTCAGCTCTAAGTTTTGAGGTCACTATCTGCTAGACTTCCTTCACTTATGAAGCCTACACAATGATCTGCATCCCTAAAATAGAATTACATTTAGATTATAATTTTATCTACAACTGATTTAAATGTATGCAGGGATAAGGGTCACTCTTCCCCCTTCCCATTACTTCTTTTCAATAATCCTACAATAATAATAATAATAAAAAGAGGCCGGGTATGACGGCTCACCCCTGTAATCCCAACACTTTGGAAGGAGTTTGAGACCAGACTGGCCAACGTGGTGAAACCCCATCTCTACTAAAAACACAAAAATTAACCAGGCATGGTGGCACACACCTGTGGTCCCAGCTAAACAGGAGGCTGAAGCACGAGAATCGCTTGAACCCGGGAAGGAGAGGTTGCAGTGAGTGGAGACTATACCACTGCACTCCAGCCTGGACAACAGAGTGAGACTCCATCTCGAAAAAAGAAAAAAAAAAGGAAAAAAGTTGCATTTAACCCAACATCAGAGTGCAAATACCTTTAAATACACATTAACACAAAAATCTTCCATCAAACATAGATATTGTACTTCACACATCTAACAATTATCACTGCCAGAAGCACCTTCTGTCAGTAACATGGGGTAAACATCAAAAGCGTTGCAATAACAATTGAGGTCTGACAATCAACCCTTCAAAGCTGGATGAAATTAATAGGCCAGCATTTCTTGAACTATAATTTGAATATGAATCACCTGGGGATGGTGTTGCACTCCAGGCTCTTCTCTGTATTGTTAACGAGCTCCCAGGTGATTGCAATAATGTAGCAGCATTGATGTGCAAGGATGCAGAAGGCAAGTTTCAGGACTGTGCAGAGCTTCTCAAACAACAGGAGGGCTACAGGTAATAAAATAGGATTCATACCCAATACGTAGATTTTAAATGCTCTTTACACAAAACCAAAAAAAAAAAAATTGGGTAACTATTAACATGATGGGCATGTTAATTTGCTTCACCACAGTAACCTTTTTAAACCACATGTATCTTATAACATCATGTTGTATACTTTAAATATACATAATAAAATTTATTTTTTAATAAACTAGAATAGCTGTGACATATCTGGAAAGGGTTTCTAGGGCTAATGACCATTGGGTAAGTGATGATTGAGTTTGGGGTTTTTTTCTGTTTTTGTTGTTGTTGTTGTCGTTGCTAATTTTTTGTTGGTAGTGGTGGTTTTTGTTTGTTTTTGCAAGTACCTACTCAGCAAGTATTTACCAACCATGAACATCTGGGGTGATGGGGAAGTACAGATAGGAGATTTGTGAGGAATTTGCAGAGTTCTAGCTCTAGCTTCATGTAGACTTATGTGGCCTTAAGTGGGTCGAGTGTGTACCGGACCAACTGGAAATTCTTTGGTTGCTTATTACAGCATGATGTAATCATTAAACCAAAACTGCTAGTTTAAAAAAGGCAACCTTTGGCCGGGCGCGGTGGCTCAAGCCTGTAATCCCAGCACTGTGGGAGGCCGAGGCGGGTGGATCACGAGGTCAAGAGATCGAGACCATCCTGGTCAACATGGTGAAACCCCGTCTCTACTAAAAAAATACAAAAAATTAGCTGGGCATGGTGGTGCGTGCCTGTAATCCCAGCTACTCAGGAGGCTGAGGCAGGAGAATTGCCTGAACCCAGGAGGCGGAGGTTGCGGTGAGCCGAGATTGCGCCATTGCACTCCAGCCTGGGTAACATGAGTGAAACTCCGTCTCCAAAAAAAAAAAAAAAAAAAAAAAAAGGCAACCTTTTGCTTCTCAGTGGCAGATTCCATTTCTCTGTTCCTATGCTCTATACTTTTCTTTCAAGTGCTTTTTCCGGAACACTTGTTCCTCTGTGGGTATTTCTGAAAGATATTGCTTATACTCCATTGTACTCAAGGAATATACCTTTAGGACCAGAAGACATGATCATGTGGGCAAATTCTAGCACTGCAAATTCCCAATTTTGGTTTATTGCCAGATAAATCTGATCTCTTTGTTAAAGCTGGACCTAAAAGGGGGTAGGCACCACAAGAATAGGAGAGAGCTATGTTGAAACAAGCAAAATGCTGATGATGTTTAGCCTTGAGGAAAATGGTTGAGGCCCTTCAGTTCTTTAAAACTTCTCCAAAACAATCAGACTACTGTATAAAGATGTAAACATATTTTTCAGAATATTCAAAAGAAAATAAAACTTTCACCATAGAGTAGTTAAAGTCAGTGTGTGAGTGTTAGGGAAAAAAATATATAGAACTGTATATATATTTAATTTTATTTTTTATTTTAATATTTTGGGGTTACAGATAGGTTTTGGTTATATGGATAAGTCCTTTAGTGGTGATTTCTAGAATTCTGATGCACCTGTCACCCAAGCAGTGTACACTGTACCCAAGATGTAGTCTTTTATTCCTCATACCCCTCCCACCCTTCCCCTTCAAGTCCCCAAAGTCCTTTATATCATTATTATGCCTTTGCATTCTCATAGCTTAGCTCCCACTTATAAGTGAGAACATACGGTATTTGGTTTTCCATTCCTGAGTTAATTCACTTCAAATAATGGCCTCCAGCTCCATCCAAGTTGTTGCAAAAGACATTTTTTGTGGAGTGATATATTTTTAAATGCATAAACAATTAACTCGGCCAGGTGCAGTCGTGCATGCCTGTAACGCCAGCACTATGGGAGGCTGAGGCAGGCAGATCACCTGAGGTCAGGAGTTTGAGAGCAGCCTAGGCAACATGGTAAAACCTGTCTCTACTAAAAATACAAAAATTAGCTGGGTATGGTGGCACACATCTGTAGTTCTTGCTGCAGGAGGATTACTTGAACCTGGGTGGCGGAGGTTGCAATAAGCACATATTGTGTCACTGCACTCCAGCCTGGATGACAGAGCAAGATTCTGTCTCAAAAAACAAAAAACAAAAAAAAAACAAACAAACAAACAAACAAAAAAACACAAAAAGCTACAGATACAATTAACTCAGAATTGTAGATAATGTTTATTTCCCTGTATGCATTGTCTTCGTGGGCTATGTAAATGACATGCCTAGTCAAACCAACCTCCTGAGCCTATGCAAATCAGACATTGCCTCCTCCAGCCTGCATATATACCTGCCTGGTGTCCACCGCACTTGGGGACCTCTTCTTTCGGCTTTGGAGCCCCACCTTCCTTTGTCTCTATACAGGGGAGCCTCCTCCTTCTGCCTTCTCTTTTCTTTGTTGCCTGTTGAACACTCTGCTCCTTAAAACCACACACACAAAATACAAAACAAAGCTATTTTCATTTGGAGGAAAAACACCTACTCAGCAAGTATTTATGAACCATGACCATCTGCGGTGGTGGGGAAGTATAGATAGGAGATTTGTGAGTCATTTGTGTCAATGTTTAATTCTCTTTTGTGTCATTTTAATTCAAACTATGGCTTAAGTCTTTTATGCAGAGATGGCTAATTTACCTGCTGTAGGATAACATTATTTTGATCAAAGTGCTTTCTTTGACAAAGTTGTAGATAATAAATAAATGGAAACTAATTTCATTATCAATTTTAATACTGTTTTCCACTTTCATCATTGATTCTAATACATCATTTCCACTGCTTCTTAACCACCAATTTTGGAAAGAAGGAATAAGATCAGATTTTAAAATTTACTGGTATATTCTAGCTGTATTGAATTAACCAAGCATGGTAATTAGTTTTTAGACATCCTCACCATGAAATATAACTTTCAAATATTCACAGCAAAAATTACACTGTGTGATTAACTTGCAGCTTCTGTGTAGGCCTTCTGTTTCACTAAATCTGGGGAAGTCTAACTTCCATTAAGAAATTCCAACTACTCTCAGATGGCCAGGTTATGAGAAGCCCAATCTAGCCACATGGAGAGGTCACATAAAGCAAGAGGTGCTCCACTGGCCCCAAGATATTTCAGCCACCCCAGTCCAGACACCAGACATGTGATGAAAGAAGCCCTCCAAGACCCTCACTCCAGCCACCATCTGACAACAAAAGCATGAGAAACACCAAACAAAACCACTCAGCTGAGCCCAGTCAACCCTCAGGATCGTCAGTAATCAACTGTTGTTTTAAGCTACTAAGTTTTTGGGTTTGCTGTATTTAAGTCCAAAACATCAAGAAACAACCACAAAATGCTTTTGTTATTAACCCAATTGCCTTTCTCCATTTTCTACTTTAATTCAGTTTCCCACAAAATCTTGAGTAAACAGAGAATCATTCTGATGGGGCAAATTAATACCAGTCAACATGAGGAGGGGAAAAGATGAAATTAAACACATCAAAAGAAAAATACTTTAAAATCTAATTACGTAAAAATGAGGAAAGGCTGTGGAGAAGTGGATAAAATAACCTTCACATGTAATGCCTGAGAATCTTGTTTGTTCATGCTATCTCTCTCCGTATATCTGCACCCTTATAGAAACTTAAAATTTGTAATGTCAAAGAAGGCCTGTCACTTTAAAAAGATGAAGGATTATGACAGTCTTGATACAGTTCAGGGGAGAAAGACTCCAAAGTCAGCATATAGATTCCATGGTCCCTGGGAAGTCAACTGAGTAACGTACACAGAAGTAGAGTGAGCCCTCTGCTTTGGATTCTAACTCTTGAAATGACTTAAATCTGAGGTGAAACACCAAGAGCATTTTTAAAAGTCTACTTCTGATTCAGCAGCATCAATCTGTTTAAGAATCAAGCTAGAATCCCATCACTGGGTATATACCCAAAGGAATATAAGTGATTCTCTTACAAAAATATATGCACATGTATGTTCACTCCAGCAGTATTCACAATAGCAATGACCTGAAATCAATCCAAATGCCTATCAATGATAGGCTGGATAAAGAAAATGTGGCATATACACATCACGAAATACTATGCAGCCATAACAAGGAATGAAATAATGTCCTTTGCAGGGACATGGATGGAACTGGAAGCCATTATCCTCAGCAAACTAATGCTGTAACAGAAAACCAAACACTGCATGTTCTCACTTATAAGTGGGAGCTAAACAATGAGAACACATGGACACAGGGAGGGGAACAATACACACTAAGTTGGGGGGCGAGGGGGTGGGAGGAAGAACATTAGGAAAAATAGCTAATGCATGCTGGGCTTAATATCTAGGTGGTGGATTGATAGGTGCAGCAAACCACTATGGCACACGTTCACTTGTGTAACAAACCTGCACACCCTTCACAGGTACCTTGGAACTTAAAATAAAAAATAAACTTTTTTAAAAAGTGAGAGAAAGAAGCAAGCTAGAGCTAAATATGTGCTTCCTGGTATAACTGGTGATCCACTCAAACAAGTAACACTCAGGTCTAGCAATTTTTCTCTAAACTGTATTAATGTGGATACAAGTCAAGTAGATCTAGTCCCTCCATTTCCAGGAGAAATCAGAGAACTTTGCAGACTCAACCATATTTACCTGTACTAAGATTTTCTTTCCAAGAACATCTAGATCATGGCATTGACTGATTGTGTAAAGCAAATTTCCTAATATTACACCTATATTACCAGGAAAAACTTGAATGACTAGTTGGCCTCATAGTTCAGTGTCAGCAACACATGGAAGCCAAAAAACAATTGGTCTTAATCTTTTCATTTGAGCCATCTGGACTCATCCTCACCAAAAGCCATCTGATTTTAATAACAAAATCTTGGCCTTCACTTCCAATCTAGGTTGCCTATAAGAATGTTGAGTCTGAGGCCAGGTGCAGTGGCTCACGCCTATAATCCCAGCACTCTGGGAGGCCAAGGAAAAGGATCACGAGGTCAGGAGTTCAAGACCAGCCTGGCCAACATGGTGAAACCCTGTCTCTACTAAAGACACCAAAATTAGTTGGCGTGGTGGCATGCACTTGTAATCCCAGCTACTTGGGAGGCTGAGCCAGGAGAATTGCTTGAACCCAGGAGGCAGAGGGTGCAGTGAACCAAGATGGTGCCATTGTACTCCAGCCTGGGCAACAGAGAAAGACTCTGTCTAGGGAAAAGAAAGAAAAGGAAAGAAAGACAAAGGAAAGAAAGAAGAAAGAAAGAAAAGGAAAGAAAGAAAGAAACAAGAGAGAGAGAGAGAAAGAAAGAAAGAAAGAAAGGAAGGAAAGAAGAAAGAAAGAAAGAGAGAGAGAGAGAGAGGGAGGGAGGGAGGGAGGGAGGGAAGGAAGGAAGGAAGGAAGGAAAGAAAGAAAGAAAAAGAAAGAAAGGAAGGAAGGAAGGAAG